GGAGGAGGAGGAGGAGGAGGAGGAGGAGGAGGAGGAGGAGGAGGAGGAGGAGGAGGAGGAGGAGGAGGAGGAGGAGGAGGAGGAGGAGGAGGAGGAGGAGGAGGAGGAGGAGGAGGAGGAGGAGGAGGAGGAGGAGGAGGAGGAGGAGGAGGAGGAGGAGGAGGAGGAGGAGGAGGAGGAGGAGGAGGAGGAGGAGGAGGAGGAGGAGGAGGAGGAGGAGGAGGAGGAGGAGGAGGAGGAGGAGGAGGAGGAGGAGGAGGAGGAGGAGGAGGAGGAGGAGGAGGAGGAGGAGGAGGAGGAGGAGGAGGAGGAGGAGGAGGAGGAGGAGGAGGAGGAGGAGGAGGAGGAGGACTGTCGACTTTTACAGAGAAAGCTTTGCAACATCTAGGGCCTTTTTAGGTCGTTCTGTGCGAGTGTGGAAAGAAAAACAATCATTTATGGATATCTAGAAGCCCATCATAATAACAGGCCTATCCTTACGACCAGTACGTGTTCACCTAAGTGCTGAGGTCAAGGGCAGCCCCTCCGCCGCTTCCCATCCACAAATCAGAAGTAAACTACTGACGAAGGAAGGCCTGCGCACTCCAGGTACCTGTCGAGAGTGCCTTCTCGTGGAGCCGTGGTGGGACCTGCTCTTGTGACCTGTCGCTGAGATGTCTCTGTGCCTGTCTTTCGCGATCTTGTCTTTGTTGTCCTTGCTCGGGTTTTCCCTCGAGGTTCCGTCCGCCTTGCCGCTACTCTTGTCTTGATTTGGACTGACGACGAGGCTGACGACGGGGCTGACGACGGGGCTGACGGCGGTGATGGGGCTGCTCTTGGAGGTGCTGACACCCCGGCTCTCGACCTCGGCCGGGGTCTGCAGCTGCAATATCGCCCATTTTAAGATTTTCTTTTACACGGGTTGTTGTGGCGACTGTATGTGTGGCTTTGCAACGACCCCTCGTTCCTTTGCGTAGGAGTTTTACATGGATGACTGTGTTGGTTTTAATTTTTTTCTTGATTTTTTGTTTTTTTTAATGACTAGGTCCGGTTATTTTCGCACAATCGGATGAGATGTCGTTCATACTGGGAAGTATGATAAACATTATACAGGGTTTAGTCAGATTATTCCTACATATCTCTCTCTCTCTCTCTTCCCTCCCTTTCTCTCTCTCTCTCTCTCTCTCTCTCTCTCTCTCTCTCTCTCTCTCTCTCTCTCTCTCTCTCTCTCTCACTCTCTCTCTCTAATGAGCCATTCGCTTCTCATCTCTGTCTTTCTCACGGTTTCGGGTGTCATTGGCGCTGAGACACCCATGTCAAAGGTTGTGAGAACTTCCCGTCTTGTTTGTAAATGACAGGGATGACACAGAAAAAATGGAGGGGGGAACAGGAGGAAGAGGAGGAGAAGGAGGAGGAATAAGGGGGAAGAGGTGGAGGAGGAGGAGGAGGAGGAGGAGGAGGAGGAGGAGGAGGAGGAGGAGGAGGAGGGAAGGGGAGGGGACGGGGGGAGAAGGAGGAGGAGGAAAAGAAGAAGAGGTAGATTTTAAGTGAAAGACAGAGAAAGAAATATGAATATTAAGCTAGGAGAAAAAGAAAATGAAAGAAGGGCAGGACGAGATCAGAAGGCGAGAGGAAAAGAACGATAAAGAGGAAGAAAAGCAGGAGCAGAAAGAAGGAGACACAGGTGGAAAGCGAGAGGTCAGAGCGGATGAAGGGGGGAGAGGGAGAGAAGAAAAAAGGAAGGAGGGGGAGAGGGAGGGAGGGAGATTAAACATGGAGAGGAGAGAGTATTCACTATAACTGCGCTCTAATTACGTATTAATAAACGAATAACGAACGCATTTGGACAAAGGTTTGCGTTCTTTCGAATTATTTCTTCTCAAGATTGTGTACGAGCGCGCGCGTGTGTGTATATGTGTGTATGTGTGCGTGTGCATGTGCGCGTGTGTGTGTGTGTATGAATATGTGCCAGTGTGTGTGCGCGCATGTGCATACATGTGATACTCCCCTAGGAAAACAATAACAAAAACACATACATCAAATATCAAACAACCAATGACCTTTAATATCCACAAAAAAAACACGAAGAATACGCCACGAAAAAAAAACAAAAAAAAACTCTCATATGTCAGGAGCGAAGGAAGTGCAACATGTGTGTGTTTTATCGATCGCCGTCGCACGTGTGGAGGGGTAAGGGGGGGGGGGAGGTGTGAGTCAGCGCCGTGTGTTTGTTTGTGTGTTTGTTTCTGCTCCATGGTATGAGTGGTTTTGTTTTTGCGTGTTTGTGTTTGTTGGTGTGTGGTTTGTCTGTGTATTTCTGTTTTTGTTTGCGTGTTATCAAGTGTTCATGTGAGGGGGGATGTGTGTTTGTTTGTATTTACAAGTCTGTCTCTGCCTGTCTGTTGATATGATAACAGTAACGATAATATTAACACGAACATTTACTAGCAAGAACAGTAACAAGAAAACGCAATAACTACGAAATAAACAGTCAACAAAAACATCATCATCAACAACAACA